CCTGGCAGGCTCGGGCTCTGGGCACTGCTCGGTTGCAGCTGGTAGAGTTCTCAGCCTTTGTGGAACCTCCGGATGCAGCTGACTCTGTGAGTGAAATTTTGGGATAGTCACTGGGGAGTTTTGGAATGAAGGGGGTTATAGGAAGGGAAAGCATAAAGCAGGGGTTCTCAAATTTTAGCATGTGTCAGAATAACATGGAGGGCTTGTTAAAACACAGATTGCTAGGCCCACCCTTGGAATTTCTGATTCAGTTGTTCTGGTGTAGGATCTGAGAATTTGCATTTCTAACAAGCTCGCAGGTGATGTCGATGCTGCTGGTGCAGGGACCACACTTTGAGAACCTACTAGAATAAAGGAAGTGGAAGGTCATGGGGTCATGGATTGGAAAGGCCAGAGGACATCATCCAGGACATTGTTCATTCATTCAGTAAACATTTTTGAGTGCCTACTGTGTGCCAGGCTTTGGGGTGGATACTGGGAGCCTGGAGAAGAAAATCTGTTTCTAGGTGCCAGCTTTCCTGGCCTAGGATGGAGACAGATGCCATATTAGTCAGAGTGGACTGACTGTTAGAAGAAATAACTCCCAACCCTCAGGGACTGAACAACATAGAAGTTTCTCACTCATTAACATTTCAGTGTGGCTGGTTGGTAGGAGCCTTCCACACAGTGATTTGGGGAATCCAGGCTTCTTCCATTTTGCGGCTCTGCCATTTTCTAGGGCTTCAGAAGATGCTGCTGGATGCTCTGCATCTGGCTGGCAGATGGTGGAAGGCAGAGAGTCAAGACTTATGCAGGTTTTATGAATCTGGCTTGGAAGTGGCCACTATTAGGTCTGCTTACATCCCATTGGCCAGAACTTAGTCATGTGATCACACCTAACTGCAAAGGAGCCTGGGAAAGTAGTTTAGCTGTGTGAAAAGGAACTGGGATTTGTGGACACAGAGTCTCTGCCATAGTGACCTAAACGCCAGTTTCTGTATATCGTGGTCCTGGTAAAACCCAAGTCAGATGAGGTTAAAACCCTCCCATCTCACTTGGAACAAAAGCTAAAGTCCTTTCAGTTGCCTACAAAGCTCTGGTTGATCTGACCCTCATTCCTGTTCTGATCTTACCTCCTGCCCTCTCACCCTTGTTTACTCTGCTCTGCCACACTGACCTCCATGCCCTTTCTCAAACATGCCAGGCCCACACTTGGTTCAGGGCCGTTGCATCTGGATGTCCTTTCCCCAGATATCCCCATTCTCTCCCTCCATTCATTCAGGCCATTGCTTGTCTTCTCAGATTGGCTTTCCCAAGTCACTTTATGGAAAATGACAGTCTTGCCAGCATTACTATGCTTTATTTTTTCATAGCATATGTCACTCTCTGAAGGTTATATTATATCCATGGAATGATTTTTTAAAATTTCTGTCTCTGCCGGTAGCTCCATGAGGTAAGGTAGCCCTGGGACCCAGAATAGTGCCTGCACACAGTAGGTCTCTCGACAGATGTCTGTTGAATAGCAAGTATGTGCTGGGATAGGGGAAGCTCACATTTCTGTGGGTGTACAGAGGAGTAATTGTACCTGGGGAGTGAGTGAAGACTTCCCTGAGATGAATTTGCCATGTGCGGAACTGGATGTTTCAGACACAGAGAAACAGCATGAAGTTTTCAGGGAAACAAATAATTGAATATGGTGGGAGTTGGTGAGGCTGCAGATAGGTGGGTAGGTGCTGGTTCTGGAGGAACTGACATTGCCAAGCTGAGTGAGGGACCCAGACTTTGTTTAGAGGGTAGTGGGGAACCACGGAAAAGGTAGGGTATAGAGATGCCATCTGATTGCGATCAAGGGAGGCTTTCAGGAAGAGGCAGGTTTGGACGGACTTGGGCTTGGAAAGACAGAAGGAGGATTTGCATTGGAAGAGAAGAAGGGGAATATTTTCAAGGTATGGACAGAAGTGATAAGAATAAGAACAGATAGGAAGTCCTGATGTGGGCTCTGTGGATTTCCACCCATCCATCCATCCATCCATGAATACCTATTCAATACAGGGTCAGGTTGAGGTGGTGTGGGCTTTGTCCTAGGGGTACTGGAGAGCCATGGGAGGATTATGAGCAGGGGAGGGCCAGGGTTAGCTCTTTAGCCATGTGAGTGAAGAACTGAAGAGGAGATTGGAGGCTGGGAGGCCAGGGAGAAGGCTGGGGTGAGGGTGGGAGAGGACAGGGCTGTGGGGATGGAGAGCAGGGGACAGGGCAGGGAATTGGAAAGTAAGGACAGGGCTTGGGGACTGAGATACTGTGGGAGTAAAGGGGCAGCAGGGAGTGGGGACAGTGCCTGAGAGCTGGGCCCAGTGGAACAGCGAGCAGGAGCTGTGGCGATGGTGACGGGGTGTGGGATGGGCTTGGGCAGCGAGGGCTGGGGGTCCAGCCCATCTCCCACTCCTCACCCGTGGCTGTCCCTCCTCAGTACCAGAGGCACCTGTTTGTACATATCAGCCAGCACTGCCCCAGCCCCGGAGCGCCCCCCCTCGAGAGTGTGGACGTCCGGCAGATCTATGACAAATTCCCTGAGAAAAAGGGTGGTCTGCGGGAGCTGTATGATCGTGGGCCCCCCCACGCCTTCTTCCTGGTCAAGTTCTGGGTGAGTTCCACCACCAAAAACAAAAGTGCTCACAAGTCACATGGCCTCCTAGCTAAGGCCACTGGCTCTAACGGAGAGTCTCGGGACTTAACCAGGTCAGCCTGGGCCTTACCAGTCCTCATGGCTCAGAGTGTCAGCCCCCTCAGCAGCAAGGAACACCAAGGAGTTTTGGATGGGACCAGTGCAGGTGTGGAGACCTCCAGCCTCCCCAGGTCCCACTAGACTTTGCCACACCCAGTCACGCAACTTATACGGCCCTGGGGATTTGCATGTGACATTTCAGACTTCCCTATGTCCCACCTGACCACACCAAACCTTGTTGCTAAGGAATGGCTCCTTCCCCTTAGCAAATGAATCCTGGAGTGTTTGGTCTCTAAAGAGGGGACGAGGCTTTACTGGGTTTCACCAGACCCTGTTGCTAAGAATGTCTGGCCTTGAGGAAGGGACTGAAGGAGCTGGGGAGTGGCTTTGTAAAGTCCTGTATTTATTTAGCAATCATTTATTGAGCACTTAATGTATATAAGCCCTGAGCCAGGTATGTAATTGTGAATAAGAGGGTTTCTTAGGCTTATTTGGTGTGGTGTCCAGTACAATGACTGATGCTATATATAGGGGTTCAATCAATATTTGAATGTTTAGGTGGTGCTAACTCTTGTGGTAACCAGGGCTGTGGAGGGATATACGTAGTCTCCGAGAAGGAAAGCCCGTAGCTTCCATGGTTATAAAGCATTCTGGTATGTGATGTGGAGGCCTGAGATGGCTCTGAGGATGTGCTGCTGAAGTTTTAGGCATTGTTAGGGCTTAAGACACGCCTCACAAGGTCCCAGGTCTGGAGAGCAACCTTCAGAAGCCCAGTATGTGAAGGGCTGCAGGGGAGTGGCCGGGAAGGCCTTCTGTTTTCTTTAGTTTCACAAGGCCCTGTTGCCAGGGTGATGGATGGAGTCAGGCCTCTGAGGAGAGCACTAAACCACCCTGGAGAATGACCTGACCAAGTTAGCAACTACAGTTAGGAAAAGGAAGAGATATGCCTCCTGGGAAGGTGACCAAGGGGCTCAGACCAAAGGTGTGATGGGGTCTTAGGCCTCATTAGGCTCCACTTGGCCTAATGGACTGTCTTCCAATTGGCCACTGGGGTCATGAAGGGATCTGACACCTGAGAATTGGCTGAAAGGGCCTGGGAGAGTTTTCTAGAGAGGTGTCAGGCTTCCCCAGACGTCACCATGCCCCGTTGCTAGGGAATAGCCACTTGTCTTAGCAACCAGGGTCAGGAAGGGCCCTGAGGGAGAGCCTCTGGTTGCTAGGGAATAGCTGCCTCCTTAGTAACCAGGCCCTTGGAAGGGGCTGAACACCTGAGTTGGGGGTTTCAGGAGAAAAAGTTGAATTCCAGGGCCTCCTTGGTGGGGAAGTTACTGAGGAGAGAGGGTCAGGACCATGGGGGACCCAGACGTGTTTAACACTGATGGAAGGAACGGTGGGTCTTCTCCAGAAACTGGCCCATGGAGAGGTGGGGACTTTAAATGTTGAGGAAGAGAGATGGGCAACTGCAGGGCAATGGGTGACACCAGGCCATGAAGCACAGTTCCCACTTTAGAAGAGTCCCCACTGTTTATAAGGGACACCCCCTCCAACTTACCTGTGCCTCCCCATCCCCAGGCGGACCTGAATTGGGGCCCGAGTGGCGAGGAGGTGGGGGCCGGCGGTAGCAGTGGTGGCTTCTATGGAGTGAGCAGCCAGTACGAGAGCCTGGAGCACATGACCCTCACCTGTTCCTCCAAGGTCTGCTCCTTTGGCAAGCAGGTGGTGGAGAAGGTGGAGGTGAGGCTGGAGGGGTGGAGCTCTGGGCGGGTGAGTGCCCAGCCACCTGCCACTTTGGGGGTGCAGACTAAATGGACTGGGAGCCACGACAGCTCAGGCCTTTGGGGGTCTGCATGGTGGGTGGGGGGTGTCCTAACCTCTTTTAATGCACGGGCTTAGAGCTAATCCGGAGTTCCAAAGTGATGTGTAGAGGTCACTTTGAGGGTTTAAAGATACTGTGTGGTACAGAGATTTACAGTCACTAAGATTCAAAAGGTTCTTGTGGATTTGGAGGAGTCCGTAGGGCAAGGAGGTTCAAGGGTCACACTTAGGGGTTGCAGAGGGCTTGAGGGGGTTCTCAAGTACAGAGGTCAAATAGACTTTGGAGATCTCATGGAGGGTCTTTGGAGGGTTTGAGGGTATCTGAGGGCCTGGAGGGTTTTGAGGGTTCAGAGCACAGCTTTGAGGGGCGGGAGGGGTCCCTAGTTCCAGGCTCAGTGAGCCTGAGCTGGGTACCCAAGGGTTCAGGGTCCCATCTTTGGTCACTGTGGATGGGGCAATGGAGGGAAGATGGCAGTGGGGAGTGGGTGTGGCATCTGAGTGGGGCTCAGNTCCTGGGGCGACCCCTGTGTCTCTGAGTCACTCTCCTCTCCACTCCCTGTCCCCTGGTTCAGACGGAGCGTGCCCAGCTGGAGGACGGGAGGTTCGTGTACCGCCTACTGCGCTCACCCATGTGTGAGTACCTGGTGAATTTTCTGCACAAGCTGCGGCAGCTGCCCGAGCGCTATATGATGAACAGTGTCCTGGAGAACTTCACCATCCTCCAGGTGATGCGCTGGTGCTGGGCCTCAGCAGGGACCCTGATACGGAGGGGAGTGCCTGCAACAGACCCTCAGCCTAGGGGCCCTTTACCTGGGAAACTGACACAGTGGGGACCTCACACTTGACCCTTAGCTTAGGGGACCCGTTTACCCAGGGAACTGTTATGGTGGGGATTCCACAGCGTTCTCATAAAAGGGAAATTGACCTGGAGGACACCCCACAGTGGATCTTCAGCCTAGGGGACCCCCTTCACAGGGAACCTAACCTTAGCCCAGGGAACATGGTATGGTAGAATCTCCTTTAACTTTGGGAAGTATGATGTGGTGGGGACCCCCTTGACCCTGTAATGTGATATAGCATCTGATGTGAGGCCCCTCCCTACTGACCCTGAGACCTAGAACCTGGCATGTTGGCATCCCATCTACCTGGGGGAACATGACATGGTGGGGATCCCTTTCTTGGGTATCCCATGATTCCTCCGGCAGGGCACAGTGTTCCCTGCCCTCCCTTCTAAGCATAAACCCCTTCTCCTGGCCTCCTTGGCAGGTGGTGACAAACAGAGACACCCAGGAACTGCTGCTCTGCACCGCCTATGTCTTCGAGGTCTCCACCAGTGAGCGGGGGGCCCAGCACCACATTTACCGCCTGGTCAGGGACTGAAGGGGAACCCCAGAAGTGGCTCACCCCCGGAATACCCTTCTCCCAGGAAGGACCTCCAGCTTTCCTCACGTTTCTTACTTGGCAGGGGGGCGTGGGGGTGGGTGGGCTGCTCCCTCTTAGGACCTTAAAAGCTCAGTGGTGAGTTGAATGGGCTGGGACTGAGGGGAAAGGATGGATCCTGATATTGGGACCTCACAGGGGTGTCTGAAAGGACAGATCACTCCAGAGCATTTGACACTGGGGACAGGAGTGAGACAACCGGTGGGACAGCACTGGTTTCTGTCTCTGACAGGCATCCTCCCCCTTCTCTGTTTTGGAGGTCTTGGAGGGCCCCAGTTACACATTGGCTTGTCCCTCTCTGTTTTTCAGCAACCCCCTTCTTCCCAATCTGCCTCTCTTTACCAGCCCCATCCCAGGACCCTGATATTGAATTTTGAAGGTTAACCCTTTCTGTGCAGGAGTAGAGCCAGGTGGGCCCTGGAAATATTTTTTTTTTTTTAATATAACAAGAGATATTTATAAGTGGGTGTTAGGGTCGTGACTTTTTCTCAGCTGGGCAAGCAGTGGGGTGAGGCTTTTAAATCTCATGTCCTCTTCTAAATGGGCCGTGGGGCTAGACTGTGTTGCCTCCTTCTCCTCCCCTCCCCCCAAAGTGTGTTGGTTTGTGCTTTGACAGAGGATAAAGCTATTTTACCAAAAAAAAAAAAAAATATTTGGAGTTCTATAATTCCCGTTGGTAATCAAAGAGTAAATTAAAATAGCTGCATCTTCCAGCAACAACTGTCAGTTATGGAAGGTAGCAGTAAGCAATGTAGGGTTGAATATAGTTGAGGGTGGAAGGAAGAAGAATTGCAAAGTATTAGTATCTGTAGTATTACTGTACTCTTTTATTGTGCAACTCTTTATACAGATATATTTTTCTAAAAGCAGACCTCCCTCTATTTATTTTACATACAAAAAAGAACACCCCTATATTCCATTTATCACATCCACACCCACACCCACACCCACACACAAATGGTATTAAAAATAACCTCAAAGTGATCTACAAGTTAAAAAGGTGAAAAAATTATTATGCTACTGTACCAAGAGAAAACTGATATGGCACTACCCTTTTCATTGCTTTAAAAAAGTTATATACACATATTTCTAAAATATATCTAAACTGAGGATGAAATAGAAACTAGTGAAATATTTTTTTTCCTAACCCCAAACCCTCAAATCAATCCTATGTGTTTACCTTAAATACATTATTTGGACCTATTGTAATATTACTTTTGTTGCTTTTCATTGTATTTGGGAATTAGGGAGAAAACGGCATTCAATTTTGGTAAAATTGCTAGCCAGCTAATGCAACCAGCTATTCCATGGTTTAGAAAACACTAGATGCATACAAATCACCTAGTTGATGTGTTAGTAATGCAGATTCCTAGGATCCAACCCTCAAATATTCTGATTCAGTGGGTCTAAGGTAGGACTCAGATGTTGCATTACAGAATCCCTTGACTACAATTTCAAGGGGAAAAAAAGGAAAACAAGGAGTCCTGCTTAAATTTTCTAAATATTTTTGAATAGACAATTTGACATTTTAAAATAAATTGAGTCATTAGAATAATGGGATTCTAATGTCAGACTGTAGTCTAATTAGTCATTAATTCATAATTTTTATATGAGACATTTCCTTTTGCATTCAGGAAATGTTCTTGCTCATTTCTGATGAATGATGCATATGATATACCTATGACATTATTAACATAGAGGTGACCATGGAATAAAATGATGACAGTGTGTGTGTGTATATATGTGTGAGAAACTTCATAGATATAAAATTATCTCTCTATAACTTGATCATGCTAACATGCAGCATTGTTCTGAACAAAAACAAAGATAATCCCAATGGTATTATAAGTATTAAAATGTATTTTCAGTTTATATGTATGAATGATAGAATAATAATACAATTTGATTTAATAAGCATTAATATTTGGTGCAGTCTTTATAATACAAAATTCTGCTTTTATTGACACAGAAGACAACTTCAATGATAAAACTGTTAAAATTAAATATATGAATTTGATGCCATGGAGGAAAAAATGTTGCTAAAATATATTTGTACTTAGAAGCTCTTTAAGCTCTCTGGTGTTGGGACAACTTCATTTATAATACTCTGAACTAAATATAAGAACTCCAGGCCCAATACTGAATTTAATTAATGTTCAAATTCAATAAATCTTCCAAAAGTACTTATTCTTGAAGTGCATTCTACAATTTGGTTTAAGGTACACAAATTGAAAAGATTAGATCCTACAAAATACAGTAGGTCATATTTTACAATGTTCAATGAGGAGTGTTATCTCTAGATCTCTGAAGTTCCTATGAGATTTTGAAATAATGTCTTTTAGTGCTTTCCATGCATGCCCTGACAATTCCTCAGTAAGCGATCAACACATACAGTAATTATAGTTGTACTTAGAAATTATATAGACTATTTCCTTGGATGTCTGAAAGTGTTTTCTAATATTACTGATTCCCAACATTACTGATAAATGATCTGTTTTGAAAAGAATGATTTTGAACATATTTTTAAATCTTTGAGTAAAAGGTAAGTGACCCATAAGTAAATGACATAAAGGTCAGGAGTAAGAACTGGTGACACTTTAGGAAATACCATTAGGTAATAATGTTTAAATTCAGACAGAATGCTAAAGTTAAAAATATTGGAGCATTAAGTTATTGCCATAAATAAGTAAAGAGATCTCTTTTTATTTTTTTCCAAAAAGTAATACTGAAAAGAGTTAGGCGGACAAAATACTATTTCTTTTACTGACAGGGAAACAATGTAGCAAACCCCTAAGATTTACTTCCATTTGACATCAGCCCCTGGAAAATATTTTGCTAATCAAGACATCACCTTCACTTAGCAACCACGGGCAACCAGGCAACTTAACATCCTTCACAGCTCCCTGATGGAAATATGGCACAAAAGAATTAATGTAACTCTATTGTTGAAAGATGAATTTGCCGTATATTAGTGCTGCTGGATATTTTTGGTTCAATAGTTTCATGGAGTGGCAAATCTTCAAATCTGTTCAGTGTGTTTTGGTTAAGTTAGGTTAGTTTTCATGTTCCTCTAAAATAGCATATCTATGAACCTATTCAAATTTTTTTGTTGTTGTTGTTTTTTGCGGTACGTGGGCCTCTCACTGTTGTGGCCTCTCCTGTTGCGGAGCACAGGCTCCAGACGCACAGGCTCATCGGCCATGGCTCACGGGCCCAGCTGCTCCACGGCATGTGGGACCTTCCTGGACCAGGGCACAAACCCGTATCCCCTGCATCGGCAGGCGGACTCTCAACCACTGTGCCACCAGGGAGGCCCCCTATTCAAATTTTGTTGTAGTAATAAAACAAAATAATTACACCACCTTGAGAAAATAAGACAAGTAACTTGATGGTAAAATGTTTAACTCTAAGTTTAGAAGTTGGTCACAAGAAATGGGATAAATTCAAATTAAGGAGAATTGTTCACTCACAACTGGTTTTAAAAACAAGTTGGAAAAGTCTATTTGTGGTGCATTATACAGAAGATTTTACTCTGATCTAAATGATAACCCAAAAAAATATGTTGTGATGTTTAAATTTAAAAATATGACCTCAGACGTAATAGGCAAGGGGAAGACAAAACAGAGATAATCTTGAAGTTACACAAGATACACACACACACACACACACACACACACACACA